GGGAGCCGTACCGTGCCGTGCCGTGCCGTACTGAGCCGTACCGAGCCGAGTCGTACCAGGCAGTGGAAAAGCGCCAAAAAAGCACCCATCCATAAAAAAAAGTGTCTCACCCGGCTCCGGGGGGTGAACAAAGGCCTCGCGCTTTTTATTTCACTTCTTTTGGACTCAAGCACTGCAACACCCGCTGACTGCAATGATAGAGCTTGGAATAGCCAGGACAATTTTTAATATAACTCCGACTGGATTCGTCTGAAAGAAGAAAGTCATATACACCTAGGATGCCTCTGGGGTGAGTAAAACACAGCCTCATTTTCATTTTTGGGTGAACTAACCCTTTAAGACTTCTTTCTATACAGCCATCTTTGCTCATACGCACTCAGCCAATCATCTGAACCTTAAAAGCTCAGAAATGTGATTCTTCATGATATGAATAATGAAAAGCTAGATTGGACAGTTACATTCTGCACAGTGCCTTAGAATGGCACCCAGTTTATTTTATTCATATACCCTAAAAAACAAACACTATCCTGTCGTATATTACTGTTATGTGCATGAAGACAGTGCTGGAGCTGAAGGGCTCACCTGTGCTCCAGCTTTTTGCGGTTGACGCACACAGCACGCTGGTAGCCCTGTGCGACACACACCTTATGTCGGCTGCATTTGACCTTCTGGCAAGGATCCTTAGTGGTGTCAACATCTGTAATGAATAATCATTACAGATTATCTGCTATGCATTCAGATGCGTTCAAGGTTTTTTTTTGTTTGTTTTTTTTAGATGCTCCCTGAGATTTCAATATTGCAAACGTTCAATAAATATTATGAATAATGTATTTAATTCCAATAAAACATTTAATATTTATTTATATTTAATTATTATTGGCTTTTTGCTGCCACCACAACCTGAATCAGTGTTATTATAGTAACTGATACACTATTTTAGTTTTTGTTGATATTTTGAATTTATTATTTTAATTAGAAATTATTTTTGATTATTAATTTAATTGTTTTGCTTAATATTTGAGTTTTTATTTTAATTTTAGGTAAAGTTTTAGTAATTTTGCTGTGTGTTTTTGTCATTTTTATTATTAAAAAAAAATAATGTATTGTCTATACAGTTTTTTTCAGAATTGTTATTTCAGGTTTAATTATTTTAGTAAAAAAAAAAGTTGGCAACTAGCTGAAATAAAATGTTTTTGTTTTTTTTACAATTTTTAATATAATTATTATATCTGTTAACATTTATTTTATTTCAAGTAACAACTTTTGATGGTTTTAGTTTTAGTTAACAATAACAATCTCTGGCCTGAACATAAATAAACAGCAGGAAAATTACTATATGTTTTTTATGCATATTGTTTTATATTTATATTTATTTTATTAATTTAAAATGTATTACTTTTTTATTAACTTAAAATGTTTCATCATAAATCTTTAGGGAAACTCCTATTTACACCAAAACAAAAATATCATGACAAGCACCCTTTGATTCATATTTAAGAACATTAATGCAAAATACAAAAATTTCGCATTACACAAATTCAAAAGCGCCTGTCCATCCGCAATGCTCTCTATGCTACAGCATTAGAGAAGCTAAGAGACAAAAATGTTATTTTACTGTATGTTTTTCAGTAAGCCATCATAATTACACCTTATACCTTATCTCACCATACTACATATGGTATTACAAAAAACGCATACTCCTCACTGCACAAAAAACGATATCTCAAGACTGACAGATTATTACAGTCTATACACAACGGCACAAGGTTGATCGGTAAGCCTCACTTCATCACAACAGGCTCAAGCAGATTAAAGAGAACACAAGAATAATGGTGTTGCTATAGCAACAGTCCAACTCCAGAGTGAGGACTGATTAGCTGCTCGTATAAGTAAAAAAAAAGAAACAAAAAACTCTCTCTCTCTAGATCTATCCATAATCATCACTCCTTTTAACATTAAATATATCTTACAAACAGTGGCCCTGTGAGCTTGTCCCTATAAAATACATAAAAAAGGTCTCCATGTGTAAGCGATGCCAAATCTGGCTTAGAGAGCTGAGGAATCTCGTCCAGTCTCCGCCGCATCCTTTGTTTACACTCAGGGCAGCATTTAATGTGATCATTACAATCGCCGAGTAGAAGTAAGGAGCTACTGACTCTATCAAGCAAAGCCAGTGGCTGATCTAATGCAGCTAATATACATCAGCAGCCAGAGCCACTTAACACTGAGCATATCAGATCAACTCGCAGGGAAAGGTTCACAGAGATAAGGACGCGATACATGCTGTGTACACAGGAAAGAGAAAATACAATCACGCTGATAAATAAAACACGCACGCTGATTGAATAAAGACGTCTCCATTTGTTTTTAATGAACTGAAGCTTTGTATCCTCTTGATGGCCTATTAATTCTGGTACAGGTTGACTCAACAGACTGAGATGTTCTTTTCACAGGTATACACACACTGGGAATGTGAAAAAAAAACATCTGCTTGTGATAAATCTGTCCACATACTGGCAACACTTTGTTGACCTACACATTCAACTTACAGGATGTGTGCAGCTCATATGAGATCATAATATCATATCTGACACGGATGATTAGCCATAGATATGCAAGAACATGTGCTGCTCTGAAAGTTTTGCCTTCAGGACTCAGGATAAAAAAAAGAAATACATGAACTACTGCTCAAAAGTGTAGGGTAGTTACTTTTTTTTTCATTATTATTTCAATTTATACATGCATTAATTTGATCAAAAGTGCCTATTCAAGAATCCTGAGAAAATGTCTTCCACAAATGTTTCCACAAAGATATTAAGCAGCACAACTGTTTCAGTATTGATAATAATAAGAGCTATTTACTTGAGCACCAAATCAGCATATTAGAATAATTTCTGAAGGATCATGTGACATCGACTGGACTGGACAAGATAGGAATAAATTACATTTTAAAATATATTCAAATAGAAAACAGTTCTTTTAAATTGTAATGATATTTCACAATGTTATAATTTTTACAGTATTTTTAATCAAATAAATGCAGCTTTGGTGAGCATAAGAGACTTCTTTCAAAAACATTTTTAAAAACTTACAGTGTAAAAAAAAAACCTTGTAAAAAAATGGTAAATGACTGGCAGCTATGGCTGCCAAACAAAAAACGTACAATTAAAGTAAAATATCTTAATTCAAATAAAGTGCAAAAACAATATTTTAACAGAAATTTTCATTAAAAGTTTTAGTAAACATTTTTTTTTTTATTTTACAGATTTTTCCTTGTTTAAATGAAGACATTTTACTTTAATTTTACGGTTTTTGTTTGGCAGCCGTAGCTGCCAGTCATTTACCATTTTTTTTATGGGACTTTTTTTACATGGCCAGGCCCGTAATCATATAGGATATGTCCCTTTGAAGCAAGGAGGTTTTTATATAGACATGAGCAAGTATTATGACTGGTGTTTTGAGAAAAACTACTGTCACAATAGATACATCACAGATTTGTCCTGAAGTTGTATGACAACTGCTGTGTTGATAACTTGTAAAATGCTAATTTGTTCCTCATTAAAAAGGTAAGGACCAGTGCTACGTTCCAAGAAGACACTGTAAATAAGGCTCTTTGGGAATTTCATCTGCTTTGGTATCTGTTAGCTGTCTGATGCCTGGAAATCGAAACATGGAGAGCAGATGCTCTTGAAATATCAGACTATAAATAAAGTCTTACAAGGCCAATTAGACACCAACATAAAGTAAATAATTGATACAATTTTACATTTCTTCTACACTGCAGATTTATCTAATTTAATTAATATCATGCCACAACAAGGGTGTTTTTTAACACTCTTAAAACTTGGCCAGAACAATCTCTTTAATATATTTCAAATAGAATTCCTTTTACTTTTGAAATTCCTTCTTCAGAAATTGCAGCTCTTTTCAAAATACAAGGGACACTATAAGATCAGTGAGCTGTTCTTTGTTTTTCTCTTTGAAAGAAAAAAGGATCTGAATTTGACTGATGCCTGCACTGGCTGCTTTTAAGCGGAAACATCATGGGACAAATTTCTCATCACTGCCTCATTAATTATCTCATAAAGGAGATAAAATGCATTCAATGCGGTAAGACAAATAGGTTTTATTTAATACATTTTTAAAAAATAAGATGGTGCGTATATTTGTGTACACACGTTTTTCAATTTCTAAAAATGTGGTGCTCAAGTTAAAAGAAGTTCAACTTTAAAAGCTCGTCTTGAGACCTTGCATTGTTCCCCCCATTCCATTCCCCACGTCTCACGCTTTTTAAAGCTAAAACGCCTTCTGTGTGACTGGCCTCTAAGAAGAGTCCATAAAAATCTATGTTGTGTTATTTTGAATAAATTTTCAGTATTTATTTTACACATATTTTGAACTCCACATTGGGTTAAAAGAACCAGTAGGGTTAAATGTCAGTAAACTTAACGGAAAATGTCCTGGAAGAAAATTACAAGTACCTTTTCCATTTTTCTATGGATTTTTCTTTCTTACAATGTATGACCAAATTATTTATGTGATTAATACTGGTTTTAATACTTAAGTGTTCAAATTATTAATAGCACAAATACAAACTCTTAAATATCAAATTTATCATTATATGTGTGAAATCTTGCTCTCTAACAACTGTGACAAATGGATCTGATAATAATTCCCTATTGTCACAGAGAATCAGTTCAAATAATGAGTTTCAAACAACCTCTGTTCTTGGACATATGAAGCTTAAGTGGATTTGTGCTATGAAAGAACAAAGCCAGTGTCAGTCAGTGCTAAATCAAGGCTCCGGGGCTCTTACTGGGCCTTCAGTGGAACTAGCAATTATCCATTAATTACATCCTGAGATATTTGCTAATGGACTCCTCCATTCTGAGGACTTCACTCCAACTGAAAAATCAAGACATAATGCTCAAATGTGCCCGGGCAGTCTCTTTACTCTAGCAAAACGAGGAGATGACCTCATCTCTTGTGTAAGCAATTAGTGTTTGGCAGCCAAGAAGAAAAGAAGGGCTGTCTGCTGTGACAAACATACGCAGACCAAGCCTAACTGCACCATTGAATGATAATTACAGTGCTAGTTTTAAAACACTAAATATTACATTTCTGACTAAATTAATTCAATAATTAATTCAGATTAAAGCGCTTAACATGCTGTGGGGTTCAAACTTTAATTCTAGACTATTTCAATTTTTGTTTAAAACATTACACATTTTTAAAAAAATTAGATTAGCTAATAAAGTTTGAAAAAATCTTCCACTGACTTGCTGACAATGTTTAAATCTATTCAAATCACTGTAATATTTGCATACTGAGTACTACTCTTTCTTACATCTATTTGCATACTGAACTCTGATTGGTCCTGACTTCCCTGAATACATTACACTGCAACTGTGTTGACTCTTGTGTGCAACTGACAGAAAACAAAATGCATGTTGAGTATCATGATAACAGAAGACTTCATTTACACAGAAGAAAAACCTCAAACTGGCACTAATTAGTCTGAATATTTAACCTAATGTAAAATCCAGCTCCATTTGAAAATAAACTAGGTCATTGTTCAGCACATCATGCGATTTGGGCACTTAAATAGAATGGCTAAAAGATCACTCCAATAAATGTAATGTGATACTATTACCAATATTAAAGATGACTTACTTTCATTCGAGCCTTGACTTTCATCCCATGATCTGATGTAATCGTCCTGACAAAAGCAAAGAAGTGAAACAGAATAAATGTTAAGAATTTAGTCAAGATTATTACATCTATCACTGTGCATCTATCATTAACCAAACTTAAAAGTACAATACTAAGATACTTTAATTGTGAAAAGCAGTGGAAAAGCACTAATGGAAAAAGGAGGGATGGAACTTAAGAAAATTCTGAGGCAAACAAGACAAAAAAGGTAAACACTTAAATGAAATGTCAAACGAAGATGCATGAGCAACTTAGATTGCATAAAAATGGGTTACAGCTTTGATAGCAAATATTAGATCAAGCATTTGAAAAGAGACATCAAACACAAGCATAGTCATGATACAGCACTACTGACCTCCACTTCCTGGTGAAATGTGAGAAGGATGAATCAAAGACAAAAGAGAAGGAGACCGTTAGAGGAGAGTGATGCATCTCTGAGGAGCAACTATCAAGATAAAAGACAGGCTCCAACTGCTAAAAAACATCTAATTGCCTCCTGGGTAAAATTTGAATATATCCTTGATATTCCCTCAAGTGTCCTTATAAAAGAGGCAGTTGCTTTAAGATAGTTATACACTTGGTGCTCATAACACTTGAAATAATTCAGCACTCTGACTAATAATAATAATAACAACCTTTTTTGTAAAGTTCACAAGCTTATTAGTGTCATCAGCAGTCATTTATCTTTTCAGTTGTAGGTGTAAACAGGAGGTGAAATTACTTATTGACTGAATTTGGCTTTTGTCAGCTACAACAGCGCTATAAATTATTACTTTTCTGCAGCAAATGTTTAAATCACAAGTCAAGATCTAAATATTTATAATTAATTATAACTAGTTATGATTAATTATTCATATTTCCCTTATGAGCTGATTCGCTACATGGCAATGCATATGCTTTATCACTCCTGAAATGTAGACCATTAAAAAAATGACACTTTCATGTCCACTTCATGAATATATATGTCTTGATGAAATACATTACTGCTAAATCTATTTAAAACCTGACTTAAAATTAAAAACCTGCTAAAAAACTATTATTTTACTATATGAATATGTGCTCCCGATAACCCTGTCAAGACAAATGAAAGACCAGTGGCTCAAAATTCAGTGCCGCATTGCTTAACTGCAACAGTCCCTGGTGCTGGACAACCTTGTTATTGATTTCCTGATACCTGCATTATTTAAGTCAGTTTTTGCTGTCTTGGCAAAGTAGATACTGTGTGGTGTACTGAGACATTAGATGTCCATATCAGTAAACATCGAATGGACAGAGTGGTGAAACCTCTTGAATATATTTTTTATCTTTAGTTTATGCAAATTGTGGTAGCCACCCATGCAAACACAGCCCTAAATTCTTTCGATATGCACTTTTATTAAGAAGAGAATTGTACACTCAGTAAGCGTGAAGTATGTGGAAAATATTGTGTCACATCAATGTGTTCCCCTTCGCTGAAAAGATGCAAGAATGAGTCAGAGTAGAGAAATATCGCCATGGCTAACAGAAATATTGCCACAACATATCATCATCATCTAATTTTATATGACCATCATCACAACACATCATCATCAAGATTTCTTTAAAAGCTTAAGATTTCTTCAAGCTTAATAGAGAGCAAAAGTGCCCAGCCACATTTCAGCAGCATTGGTTCCAGATGTATTTTTCCCATAGGGATTTTTATTTGAAAAATTCTTTATTTAAGAGTTATAAACCATAAATCAAACCAACAAGCTATGAACTTTACAAACTTTAATTTGAAGCAAACTATCCTAGTGAAAAATAAATGCCAAGTTCTGTCATGAAACTCTAGATGGTGCAGGCTGATGGGTCGTTAATGTAAATTGATGATATTTGCAGCGATAAACTACTTGGCACTAGCTGATTGGCTCAGCCAATGAGCTCACTGCCTCACATTTAAATGGCTGGTTAGCATTCACTCGAGCAGTTCGTAGCACACATTGAGAGTTCCTCTGAAACCCTCCATCTTCCCTAGCTCCACCTGTATAGACCTGCAACGGGTTATTATATATGCTATTTGTGCAGCAGCAGTATGCCTTAAATACTCACAGCACCGTATCGTTCCTGTACTTGCTTTGCAGCAGAAGCAATAATCTACAGCAACAGCAATAACCAACAGCAGCAGCAATTAAGCAGCAGCAGCGTAGCAGATCTATTCCACCAAGACCAAATACATTAACAATGTCATATTCATTACCATGCTAAAATCTACCGAGAGTTGTCATGATACAAATATACTAAAATGTATTTAAAATACATTTATTTCATGCTAAGTATACTACAAATACATTTACATATTTATGTGCTTAATAAAAATACCCTGTATTGTTTATACTAAACTGGTATACTTAAAGTCTGCTAAATTGTACTAATTTTGTACTTAATGCACTTTATTTGTGCTGAAGTAGTGTTGATGTTCAAATAAAGATATACTGAGAAGTATATTTGATTGAGCTAAAGTGGAAATATTGCAAGTGTACTTTTTGGTACACTTTAAATATCTTGCATTTAAAGAGCAATATTATTCAAAGATCAAACAATCCTCATCAGTAGTGACATTAAAACACATTTTAGGCTTAATTTTCAGAAATGTGCATTGTGCAGAAGTAGTACAGTTTCATTATAATTTTTATGTCAGTAAGTTTGGCTGTGAAATAATGTGGGCTGATGGCTTCAACAAAAGCATATACCATTGATTAACAACCTCATAGCTCACAGTAGGTCTGTCTTTGTTGTCTGTAAAGGTTTATATAACTTATCATTAAAACTCATTTCCCCTGTGGAGAAAATTAAAATTCCGGAACCTGAACCACTCTATAGGCAGTAAGCAACAGTGGCTCAACCAATGGCAGAAGTTTTGGGCAGGGCTATCTGTTTAACTAACCAATAGAAGAAGAAGAGGGCACCCAGAGGAAACCTGTTTGGAAACAATCATTCTTTTTTATCATAAGGTGCCACTGGTGGCTCAGAAATTATTTTCTTTAATGAAGGACATACCCATTTTATGAATCATCATATCGCTTTAACATACGTCAGTCCAAAATGTGATCACATGGATGCGGAATCCTGACAATTTGTTGTATTTTAGAGCATAGAGACATTTCAGAGTCAGCAGCACTTGAAAACACAGTCTGGGAAGCAGTCATCTACAGTTGAGCGTCTCCTGTATCCGGAGTCAGCTCATCTTTGGCCTGCCTTGAGTGAAGGCTGCCAGGACTATCCCTCAGAGGACACTGGTCTCATCAAAAACACCACAGAACCCCTACTGTGCTGACTGACAGCTCTTTTATCCCTCATATCTCTGCAATGTAATCGGGCATGTCTGAACATGCACTCTGTAAATTCAGCTTTGATTTGGAGGCCCTGAAAACACCTGTGAATGTTTATATGACATACGAGCATTTGACTGACACCTGAGAAGAAGATGGAAAGTGATATACACACACGTGTGTGCGTGTGTGATCAAGCAGCATTTGGTGGGTGAACTGGATCTGTCTTTTTCACTCAAACTTGACAGTTACATCACAATGCAGAGAAAAAATGCAGGAACGCACCATTGTGCTCCTGTGTTGCTGCTGCTAAGAAAACATCTGCGACAGTGACACAGCACAAAGACATCAGGGAACTAAAATCACTCAAATATGGGTATATTGATAGACAGTTTCAAAACTGTCAGATGATGGCAGAAGTTAATTTAAATGTACGAATCTCACCAACTATGGCAATCAGAAAAAAAATATAACATGCATTACCATTGAATTCACAGGTTTCAAGTAATGTCATATCCTTCCACTTGGAAGGCAAAACAAGGCTTTCTTCTGCTGCCTGCCAGCCAGTTTTTTTACTAGGCTAATGTACTAAGACAGTGATATTAAATGACAAATTCAGTATACAACTTATTGATGATGCATACATACACAATCATATTTTGCACTCATCTGCTTGCATGTACATCAATAAGTGTATGATACACTTATTGATGTACATGCAAGCAGATGAGCTCAAAATATGATTGTAATGCACAAAGTTTCACATTAAGAGCTTTCCCATAGAAAACCAATATAAAGAAAATGCTTAAGCATTTTGGTGCATTGCATTCATATTATTGGCTCGTCTGATTGACTGTATATAGTATGCATAATCGATGAATTGTATTTTTTATCTTTTGATATCTTTGATCTTTTTGATAGCTTACTACATTAAACCACATTAAGCATTTTTTAATAATATCCAAATCATGAAAATTACTCTCATGATCTGATTCTTGAGTCAATCACAAAAGATTCAGCCTTGAACCTGCTGTTAAGTTTCAATCAGACTCACTCAGAAAGTAAAAGTGAATCAGTTCACAACCCTTACTGAACTGTGAATAGTTTTTGGATTTGTCAGTTTCTAAATAAATCAGAACCGTGATGTGTGATTCAGGTTTGTGAGACATGCATCAGTCTATTTACTAACTGGGTGTTAATATATGACAAGTGTGTAAACAAGGATATACACTGCAGAGTTTTGTTGCAAAAATTAGTGTAATAACGGTATTCTAAAAATATATATTAACATTTTTCCGAAACAGGCACAGATATTCTTACAAAACAGTGATATATATTGTATGGCACACATACAGTCAGGATCACTAGGATAAGAGCATTTCAGTACACAGCAGAGTTGTTAAAGGCTAAAGTAAGAAGTTCTGCACTTAATCAGCTGATGCAATACTGAACAATAGTGTTCACCATGCGATTCTGTCATATGTCAAAAAAGTAATTTCCCTCAAAATATTTCATTTTAGGAGCCAGCCCTTGTCACTTTTTTGTCTGACACACTGCTTTCAGCTTATGTCCTCCCACTTTGTTGTCTCTTTAATTTTCTCTTTACAAGTCATGCCTTGTAACCTTGAGGGGATTCAAGTTTGGTTGTGACTATTTCACATTTTTTGTTTCCACACATTCTAGAGATTCGCTCTGACAAGTTTTGCATGCTCAAAATTACTTCTTGTTGGAGGCACACAGTGAAGCAGTCTTCCATAATTGATCAAAGCCAGATGGACCCTGGAGGTAATTACCTCACAATGGCCTCACACCTACGCATTCATCACTCCACCGTGTTGCCGGCAATCATACAGGCTCCTCGCAGTTCATAAACACCCCAGGCAGTGCATGATGCTGAGGACCCACACATCCATTCTCCCTTTGACTCTGCATCTAATCGGCCGTGTTCCACAAGCCAAGAAATCAAGAGGAAAAACAGATACTATATTATATATCGGATTCGGAACATTCCCAACTATGTTTTCACTGTCACACCACGACTATAGTTGACAGGCAAGCACAAGCCTCCCACTTGATT